TTAAAGGGAAGGAGACAAATGTGACCAACAAATGCAAGTGTACAAAATCTGCAAGAAAACCATACCAGTGAGGTATGTATCCTCTCTTACCTGCAAAAGGGTTTCCCACATTGAGACTTTACTTCAGTGACAATGAGTAGGACTGGTCATGTCAAACATTGTTTTATGTGTGATCACATCACGCCATGTAAACATCATGCAATGTTACAGTATCATGTCACATTGTGTCATGCCATGCATTATACATGTATGTGTCATGCTGTGTGTACCATCATGCAACGTTACAGTACGTCACATCGTGTCATGCCATGCATTATATGTGTCATGCTGTGTGTACCATCATGCAACGTTACAGTACCACGTCACATTGTGTCATGCCATTCATTACGTGTGTCATGCTGTGTGTACCAATATGTCACACCATGCACATACATATACATATACCCTGTCATAACATGTCAGATCACCGCATGTGTCATGGTGTCACATCTTCTAAACTCAGTAAGGTCATACAACGTTTTGGTTTAACTGTATCATGTAATTTCATGTTACATCATTTCTTGGCAAATCACAAAGAGATCCTCTTATAATTATTGATGACATTAGAAGCAGACCATCACTTTCACAGAAATCACAGTTTCTTCCCAAATAGTTTTCAAACGTACATTGTACACTACTCACCATACTTCTGTATCCTGCTGAAATTGCTCATCTTCTTTTTCTTCTTCAACTTCTTGATTTTCTTGGTTTGAGATGCCTTGACTTCAGCTAGTTTATCAAAACTCTGTTCATCGTGATCCTCGTCGCTGAATGTCGTCATTTTGAGGTCTTGTCTTGAGTGTTCCCCAATGTGGTACTGCGTTTCACCACTGTGGCTACTTTGCGTATCTGCCGTCGAGGAGCTACGATCCCTTCTCATCCTGTCTCCTTCTTCATAATCATCTTCTTCTTCATCATCTCCCTCTTGGTCCAAGTCTTCACTACTGTATTCCGGGGTCTCCATACCTCTGTTGGGCTCCTTGGGTTCCTTCTCCCCCTCTTCCTCCTCACTACTGTCAAGTGTCAAATCCAGGAGCTTTCCAACTGTTGCATCGTACCTTGAGGTGGGGAGGTTGTGATGGGACTGTGGGTCAGCTTGGACGGGTAACTGCGGTGGTGTTGCACTGAAGACGTCTTGAGTTGAGACAAGGCCAGATGATGAAGGTGGCTCTTTGAATTGACTGGGTGCAAACAATGGATCAAATTCGTGAAGTGGGTTCACTTCTTGTTTGGGAGTTACAGGTGGTGGTGTCGATGACACTGAAGGTTTGAGAATGGGGGCTAAACTGGGCTGACCTCTCAGCAAACCAAACGAAGGTTGCTGTGATGGATCAGGTTGAGTCTCTGACACACTGGTTCGTTTCAGGGAGGCTAACTGTTCTGTCACCTTAGTGTAGTCACTTGCAGGACCTTGAGGTACCATGAGGCTTCTTGGAAATGAATACTGGGAAAGGTTTGGGGGTTGGCACAAGCCTGCCTGCGGTTGCTGATAATGTGGTCCTTGAGGGGGATGAGAGGCGGAGCGTTTGGGTGGTGGAGGCAGCGTCGGTCGGGGGGCAATAGGGTGGTGGTCTTGCCGCGTGACCTCAAAGGGTCTGTAGTACTCCACGGAGCTGCGATGAACCGGAGGGGACATGGGAGGACTCTGAAGGGATCTTGTGGTGCACATTGTGTCCTTTGGCGGAGGGGGTGGGCTGTGAAGAGGCGGGGGGTAGTGACCCACATTCTGCAGCAGGAATTCTTGCTGGCTTTGGGTACTACACCGGATGGGCTGCCGCCCCATGCTAGCTAGCAGGGTGTCGTCACTGCTCCCATGCTGCAAACTCCTCCCAGGAATTGTGGACATGAACTCTGATTGTCTGAATGGATTGTTCTTGTCATCAAAGCTCCAGCTTTTGTGCAGCTGTCTATTCTGGGCTGCTACGCTGTCCACACCATGATTCCGCAGGGATACGACAGGCATTCCCTGCCCACCGCTGTCCAGTTTCACTGCAGCACCAGCATTTTTTGCAGCCGCTGATGTCTGCAGAGCAAACACAGGCTGTTTGTTCATGACCATGTAGCCTTCAGGTGATGAAAGACTAGGTGCCATGGATGAAGGCGGAGTACTCCATTGAAAATCTTGCTGTTTTGTGGGAAAGATGGGAAGAGTTGACCAAGCCCTGGGGGATCCTGTGGATTCTGGAAAGTCTCTCTGTCCTTCAACTTGTTGATTAGGAACACCAAGTTGACATTGATTTCTTACCCAGAATTCTAAAATAAACAGCAAACACTTATCATTCTATCATATACTACTGACATTCTGGACACATGAGATTTTATAAAGTCAGGCACTGTTAAGCAAATTCAAAAACATACCAAACAGTTTTAAGGATTTTTCCAGCAGCAGAAGTTTTCCTAACACTGATTCTGTGGCAATGGCCAGCCAGCTCAACAGTAAAACTGGTCCAATGACTTACTGATGTCGTAACAGGATCTCCAATGGTAGCTTTTCTTTTTTTTGTACACTGCTTTTCAAATGTACAAGACCCTTGCAGTACCAACCTACCGGTACATGTAAAGGTGTGGCCAGGTAAGAGGTACATGTAATACACGAGCGCTCATTTATATCATTCTTAAGTTAAAGTGAGGATAAAGAAATTATAACTCTTAATGAACTGAGTTCCCATTGCATAATCTGGGTAAACTATCCCCAGCATTTGGGATGCAGTAGCTGCTTTTCCACATGACACTGGTGTAATTGCGTCAAGGGTGCACAGTGCAGAGCATAAGACTGGTGGTGGTTGTAAAGCTGTCACTAGGGAAGAGCTAATTTTCTGGGCACGTACCTTCTTCAAACAGTGCCAGCGATTGCAAAGCTCGGATGTTGCGAGCAGCCATAATTTCTGGCGGAAGCACCAGCTTGCATGGCAGGGTACCCTTCTGATGCAGGTAGTGCAGAATAAGGTCCTCAATGGTGGAGAATTCTTCTGCAGACCTGGACAGCTTTACCCCTGAAATGATCACCCAAATAATCTTGTTCACCTGTATCCTGTTCAGTATCCATCTGCTCAGTATCACATTCACTGTTAATGTAGTGACATTGATAATAGTAAGAAACAAATTACTTGTTCAAGTGTAAACAATGATGTTGAGAAAGATGTTCATTAAGCATGTGATTTACCACAACTGTTTATATTGAATTTGTACTTCCATCTTCATGAAACAAAGTTTGTTTTTATACCTGCGAGCCAACAAACTCCCTTCATATATTGTACTCTTGACCCCTTCATGAACTGTGCACAAAGATGAGATGGTGCATTATTATTAAACCGTATAAAGTGGCAACGGCATTCAAACTGTTGGTCCAATCACTCCCTTTGTCACTGTTGAAGGGTCCAAGTTGCAACGTGGAGCCAGTTTCAAGTTTTGGGGCAGGCATTTTGGGTGAGACAAATGCCACGTTACATTTCAAGCTGATTTGTTGCTGACCTTTGCTGAGCCAATACACGTTGATTAAATCAATATGACGAATAAAATGTTTGAAAGCATTTTTTAAAAATCAACATCTGGTTGTTACTTGTTCATCTGTGCTGTCTAAGCACCAAAAACAATCTTGATAAAAGTGATCCCGTGGGGAAAAATTCACTCCCAAAACTTGATGGTCTTCACTTAAACTGATGGCAATTATTGAACAGAGTTTATACCTTTGGTAAAAATCACAAAAATGGGACTGCCGAATATTCCTTGAATATCTTACTTGAAAGAAAGTACATGTAACTGCCTTGGTGACTATGTAAAATGTTGCTGTTGTTTCAAGAAAACAGAAATTTGGTTCCCTTTTTTAATGAATTCATTTCATTTTAGATATCATAACTGTTAATGGGCACCAATTTTTGTGTGTGGTGTGTGCAAATGTAAGAGTCTGAATAAATGGGTAATACTAGCAGCAAAAACACAGAAGAAATTCACAAAACACATTGAAAACTGAAAAAAAAGAAAAATAAGTGTACGGTATAAAAAGTACATGAGTACATGTAAAAGAGAAACTGGATCGGTTCAAACTTAAATATTATATATGAAAAGGGATTTTTTTAACACAAAAATGTTGCAATCTCACTATCTCCCCTGAAGCATAATGGTATGGTCCAAATTGTCAACTGATGAGCACAGCTAGGACAGGTGCCTTTTCCAAGCTCCACAGGGAGAGGATTTTCCTCAATGAAGACTGCCATTTCCAGAGGTCAAACCTCCCATGTTTCCTCTGTGGCCATGATTATTAGTCAACTGAGAGTGGATTTCAGACTTCCATTGACGTGTAAACTGATACAAAAGTGTGGTCATGAAGCAGAATTATGTATTCTACACATGTCATGAACATGACTTGACTGCAGTAACTTCACTGCTTGAAGTTTGTTCCATGAATTTACTGTGCAACATTGTCGAAGAGACATATCACTTTAAGGAAAATTTACTGATTACTCTTGGCAATGGAAAACTGCTCTTATAAAGGGCAAGGGCACCTGTCATGCCTGTTCGTCCGCAGCGGGACACTGTGTGTACAGTTTTCTCTCACTTAGAACACCCTGTAGTTCATGGATTTTGCACAATATACATGTAAATTGCAAGCTCTTCAATTTGACAGTTGAAAAAGCCGATGTGTTTTTCTTCATTTTGCTCAAAGCAGTTCACTCCAACATGAAACAAGTCATTGGAATAAAAGCTGTAGAAATTTTATACCCCTAAAGCAGCCAATCTTGAAAAAAATTACTGCAAAAAGAATTGGTGTAACCTCCCTTGACTGCTGTTGAAATTTTGTCGACAGAAGTGTTTGCTAACAGCACGTTACACTTGGTATTCATTGTACCATGTGTTTTATTCATTAACCTGCAACTGACAGGATTAAATTACGCTGGCTTCCTTTGCTTTCAGATGTCTTCTCTAGGAGTTTGTTACTTGAGCAATTCAGGAAATGCGTACAGCCATCATTTCACTTTTTCTTTCAAGGTTCATGGGAATGTGGCATGAATGTGACAACTTATTGACCTTTTTTGGTTTCATTTTTTGTTTCATGTTGCTGCCCCTGACCTGCAGAGAATTCTGTTCTCACAAAATGCAAATGCACGGCAGTAGATAACTTCTACCAAAATACTTCTACTGAAAATATGATTTTCCTCTGTGATTTCTGTTGTCTTACCAAAAAGGGAAGTCAAGTACCAGTTCTTCACAGGTGACTGAAAACACTCAAAGAAAAGAATATGTGGGAAACCTGGTGACGTTAATTGACTATCAGTGGTAGTCTACATTAATACTAAGTACCAATGGTAATATTCATACTTGAGAAAATTATTGAAAATCAACATTGATTCATGACAAGAAACAAAGTGAGGGCAATAAGTCAGGCATCCTGTCCTTGGAATCTGCCCTCGTTCTAGCATTACCAGGATCTGACCTACCATTCTGAGAGATAAGAATAGGCAACTTCTCAATGTACAATCCCGTTCCTTTCCCTGGGTGCTTCATTGCCAGCACAAGGCCGTCCTTATCTCTTGCTTGGCACACGAGGAAGCTCTGCAAAATGAATTATTCAACAACTCATTAATATTCATCGATACATGCATATGTATCATCACTTTCTCCATCACATGGATGATTTAAGGAAAAATTCACATCTGTATGCCCGGTTGGGTTTGAATAACTTCTGATTTGTCATTATCTATAATGAATGAAAGCTAATCAAATTATTTCAATTAACTTGACTTTATACCAGTAACCACAACTGATAATTCTACATAGATACCCATACAATGCCAACCCTATGGCCAAATACGACAAGGCTGTGCATTCTGCATGCATACAATGTACATGTATGTGGATTCATTTACTTCAAGTATGAAACTATGTATAAACACATAAAAGAGGGCCGTAACCAAACCACATATACATGTACCACAGAATGGGCACAACTGATTTCCATCCAAAAGCCTGCAAAGGCATGGTATCTCTGACTTACACATAGTACTAGGCAAACGACAACTGCCCTCAAGGGTCAGCCTTATCCTTTTCTTTGTCAACATTCTGGGGACAACTGTGTGTACTCATGAACCAAAAACTTTTACAAGATCATTCATATGCGTTCTTGTACACATTTCAGTATACAAAGCTGCAACTGAATCGGTATCTGATTCAGCAAAATCAGCTGAGAAGAAAATGTTTCACAGACTTAATAAACCTTTTCCTGGAATGTAGATCCGGTGCAACCTCTCAAATATAACCAGTGCACCAACACAGACAATATCATACCAGACAAGATGTGGTGTGCCCCAAAAAAGGAAGCAGCTGTATGAATCACACATGATTGGTATGACCGTCCGTAAGACAATCATCGAACTTGTCCCAGAAACATAGGAGGTCATAGAAACTGCACGATATGCATAAACCATATAGGGGCATGTCTGACTGGTAAGTCTGGTGGTACATGTAATTAAGGATGCAATTTGACTATTTGCTGAAGACAGGAGTGATGTACTTTGTTGTTTGTATACATGGTAGTTAAGGATGTACAACTGACTATTTGCTAAAGACAGGAGTGATGTACTTTGTTGTTGTTTGCATACATGGTAGGTAAGGATGCACAATTGACTATTTGCTAAAGATAGGAGTGTTCTTGCTGTTTCTGTACATAGTATCCTGCTGATTCTCTGATTGCAATGCATTAATTGGCAGATTTTAGAGATGTCACTTTGATGACATACCACGAGGAAGTCTTCCTTTTCTCAACATGTGTTTTTCCGTGTACATTACAGTAAACTCTCGATAACTCAAAGTCAGTTAACTCAAATTTCTGCTTCGAAGACATTCTTCATTTCCCACCAAAAGTATACATTTATTATGTATGTACCACTACATCCGCTTAACTCAAAAGTTTTAAGGGCCAATCAAAAAAAAAATGCCGCCAAATTACTGACAATGAGTGGAAAATGAATGCGGAGACTTTAATTGTAAGTCATTTCTGCAAACCACACTTCGGTTTTTTTTTGCGTGAGGACAGAAGCATGCTTACTGCCAATGCCATTGTATTCAACTCCTCGTGACTACAACCTACACAAATCCCAGCTTTCAAGCAAGCCTGATTGCCATCATGGCCCAAATGTAGCCCACAAGCGCGCCATCCAATCGTTGATTCTAACAGTGGCCATGTGACTGCACTGATGGAGGTTTTGTGCATGCCGCGGCTAAAGCCTGGCTGCTGCCTGTCCAATTGCAGCACTCGCATGCTGCTTACATGCTGACTGACTGGCTTGGTGCTGAAAATGCTGTTTTGCATTGCCAAATTTCACTCAAATTTTGGTTTAAAAAGGAAAGGTAAGGGAATGAAAAGACAAACAAAAACACACACACATTTAAAAAAAATCATTTTATGCTCGAACATTTTGAAATGCAAAATGGTGCACCCTCAAGAGATTAAAAGGGAATGATCATGTGGACAAACAGGAAAACCCTGGGCCCAGCTGGTCCTGGCCAACTGAGTGAGTACCAGGCTGTGTGCTCCATGCCGTGGTGTGCACAGAACAAAACAAAAAAGGACATAGTTTTGGTGGTTCATGTTTTCATCAGTAGAATGGAAAAATTTACGTAAGAAAAAAGTGAAACCTCATCAAACTAATGATTTTTAGAAGAAATGTATTCTTGGAAACACATGTAAGGAAATAACCATCACATATAACGTCTTCAATAGCCAGTGCAGGGGCAAGTAGGGTTACTTTGCACTGTGCATGCGTGTGTGGGCAAGACTCAGGAACTTTCGAATCTTGAAATCTAGATAACTTGAATGTTTTATCCCTTCCCCTGAGGCTCAAGTTATCAAGAGTTTACTGTGTTCTACAGCTGGTATCTTTAAATGACTTTAAGCACCATAGCTTAACCTTAAAGTCGGGCCAGGATAAACAACAATCGTGTTACAGAACAGCTTGGCTCACTGGCCATACTTAGGAAGTTTTATTTCTCTGACAAGGAAGTGAAAACGAGCCAATGAACAAACCAATGAAAGGTGTAGAGTAATTTGGTCTGATCTTGTTAATGGTATACACGTATTTGATAGAATACATTTCAACAACTCCACTTTCACTGAATCATGAGAAAATTTCCACTTACACATTTCAGTGAAGAAATCATGGAAACAATCTGCTTAGCATTGGGACCTTTTCACTGCTGCTACCCCCCAAAAATGCTTACTTAGTAACAAACTACAAATTTACAACCTTACACTGTTGCCAGGCCACACTGTGTCAATCCCTCTGACTCTCACTTCACAAAACACAGGCATGTCCTCACTGCATGCAAGGCCTAAGGTGCATATGAATCAACACACCAGGTACATGTAGCTCAGGACTATCACAATCAGAGGACATAACTGGCAGCTACACTGTACATGTACGTGTACACCAGTGAGCTTCTCTAATCCCAGGATCTTGTCCACTTGTAGTTACTTAGTAAGTAATCCACCTCCTCAGCCACAGAGAATTTTAAGCAATTACGCACTATGCACTGGAGGACATGCTGACAGGATCTGACTCTCTGCATACATAGGCATACCTGACCAGTTCAGAGGTCAAGTGCATCTCAGGATGACATCTAAAAACACTAATCCTCCATTTGTTTTGAACATGAAGTCCAAGAAGTCTGCAACAAGTGGAATGCATTTTGTACCGGAACTCTGCTGCTGTGCACTGCCTGTAGTGGTAGCAATATCGCTCTGTGGGTATGCCCCGAAGCGTTGAAAAAAAATCTCAGGTTGGGGCTGGTAACAGAGTACAAATGCTATTAAAATGACTTGCAAATCAGTACTTCTGGCTTTTGGCTGTATATCAAATGTTGACCACTTTTTCTTGCCTCTTTCAAAAGTTAAGATATTCAGCCCAAAATAATACCACCCACATGTGGTTAAGCCTCCATGAAGTATTGACACACAATGCAGAGAGACAGCTGAGCACTTTCTCCTCTGGGACACCAAAATACCAACTCCAACAAACAATGGTACATTCCTGCAGATCAAACATACATGGTATCCCCCCCAATTAAGCCTCGCTCAGAATAGGAGGATATCCAGTGTGAGATATTACTGGACTTCCACTTTCCATTTTGGCACGTTTTCATTATGTGTCAGGGGCTTGTTTCCCTGCAATCTTTTGTTATTGATCAATTTCCTTTTCTTCCCTACAACTTCCTTCAAATTACAATAGTTTCCTTTTCTACTGTTGATATGTACTGGAATTGTGTGCTGTGGGTCTGTGTTTTCCAGTCTCATTCTTAGTCTCAACATAGAGGAAAGACACAGAAGGAGTTGCAACTCAAACACTTCAAAGTGTTCAATGATGGTTGTCGCTCAGTCAGACGAATAATACAAAACATTCCAAAAATGCTTGATTACTGCCTGAATCTTAGCTGGTCAAGCGGGGCTAGTAATATCCTAGCAATACATAGAGTTTCTGCTTGCAATTAAAAACAAATTATCGCTGTGACCAGGAAATAGAAAGAGAAAAATCCCTGATATTAGACCTACTTTTGCCATCGTAAATAAACATTTTAAATTTTGATAACTGTTCCATTATCCCTGCAAAGTTTGTAATTTTATTCTCCTCCGTCCAATGCATCAGTGTTCAATGACTTGGTACGAATTCGGCTAAGACTGGCCAACAAAATGTTCATAACTACTGGAAAGCTTAGTTCATTAGGAACAAAATGCGCTATTTCATCACAGGGAGTAATCGTGAAAATAAAATATGCTTTTGAACAAATACCATAATAAAAATGATTCAAACAAAACACAAAATCTTGTAAACAACTGGGCTATTTATTCCCAAAATAACTCCAGAAGAAAGAGCTCATTAAGGGCAATGACTGCGCATATACATGTAGATTTAGGGCAGACAGCATAATGCAAGCAACTGTGCAAGCATTAAATTTGATATTGTCATGAGATCATACCAAGCACCAACAAAGGCATGAATATTCAATTTCCTATACCTCTGTACACAAAGTTTTAAGGATGCAGATCACCATTGACAAATTGCGGCAGCGATCATAGGGTGCAAAGGGGTTTCGTGGTTATGAAACAGAGGGTGTGTAGCAAGCGTTCACTGTGCTATGGCTATGGACATACATGTACCTGGCATGCCAGAAAACAGTAATTGGCAGCCCGGGCAGTTCAAACTCCTTCCGTGTCCTTCCTTTATGGTTTCAATGACTTATGTCTGTGGAACAGAGATGGCTGAGTACTCAGCAAAATAAAAACACAAACCATCTGGACGGCAGAGACGGCAGCCCTAATGTTTGAGCTCAATGATATCTCAAGATCCTAGAAATCTGCCAAAAGCTTCCCAGTTTAACATCACAAAATAAGTTCAAGTAACATCTCAATTATAGTGACATGTTAAAGGTATTTCTTCAAATATGGTCATATTTTTGAGTGTGCATAGTTGCATACCCAGGTATTGATTCCGGAGGAAAAGGGCAGAAAATAGGAATTCTTCTCAATACCGGTACCAATAGCGCCAAATGTACTCTTCCAGTTTGACGTCAGTGGTTTGTATGGCATGCGGCAAATTTTCTACAGAATCAGCACAGACTTAAAGCTTATTATGGGCTGACAGAAATGATTAATATTGGGCATTTAAAATTAACTTTAAAAAAATTCTCCCACTTCTCCTGTTATAGCACATAAACATATCATAATGTACATCACTTGATTGACTTTGACTAATAGGACAACTTTTGCACAGAATGCATCTCAGCGTAGGGTTTTAACTGTTGCAATGTTTTAAGGGAGGTTTGTGGACACACTGTGTGACAAACTTGCCATAGCAAAGCATCCCTGGTCAGAACTAAAAACATCTGTATAACATTTTCTCGATGCCAATGCTTTCCAGAAATGATTTTTTATTTGCCATACACGCCTCAAATTTCAAGCATTGGTTTCGTTTGGTTTGTGCAACTCCCTCCTGTAACCCTCCCACCCAGCCTGTTTCTTACCCCAACAGCTTGGCCTTGGAGGTAGTGAATCGCTGCCGTTCGCTGAGTGTGGGGCAGAAACCAGATGGGCTTGGTGTGGACCAGCCTGGTTAGCAGGGAGAGTTCCATGGAGTCCTTGACATATTGCTGATGGGGACTGATGAATTCCTCATGGGAGGAAGCCCTGGAGGGGTGCGTGGCAGCAGGCAGGAGGAGGCTCTGTGATGGCAAATGACCAAGAGTGAAGGTAAAAGATCAAGCACACAGACAGAAAAGGTTGAAACAAAAGATTCAATTTGCTTGTGGTTGATTTCACATTTTGATATGTGGCAGTATATTAGACCAGTTTGACAGCATTATTCAGCGTATACGCATTCTTGTCAAATCAGCAACTTTGACAACTACAGGTGTGTAATCCTCTGTTCATCAAATGAGACAATCATTCAGGATTTGAGAAAGTTCTACACGTGCTGTAATGCATGGCAAAGTGAATTTGTTGAGGTAATTGATACTCTGAGCTTAAAATATATACCGGTATTACATGTTAAACTGCCGTGTGAAATGATCTGGGTGGAACGTGTTTGTGACGCAATGTCTATTATTCTACAGATGATTTTCACGCAGGCGAAGTTCATCACTTTTTGTTGTTTCCTTGCTCTTTGTTATTTTGTACTTTTTGTTTGATCTGAAAGTCATGTTCAAGAATTTAGCAGAAAGGTTTGACTAAGGTCAAATAAACTGAAATAGGGCATTTCCAAAACTTCAAATGTTATACTGTACCTATGCGTGTACATGCACATGTGGACCCCAATAATCATGTACCGGTATGTGTTGGTATGTACATGTAGTTTACATGTTTCTATTTAAAATTACCAAAGAATTTTGTTATAAATTAATGTGCAAACTTTCCGTATGAAAAGTCAACGCATTAGCATAAAACATGCTACTAAGTGAAACAGAGTATCACATGAGCCTTAATAATATGACACGTTTCTGTCATCTAAACTGTATCAACCTTTAGCCAGAGCTCTTCTGCAGGATAAGGGATTAACAAAGTTCAAATATGGAAATGTCTGTCTGCGCACTGTGCTCTAAAAATGATGCAATATAAATAATACAACAGAATGAAGTACGTAGCAACACTACGGTACCACTGGCTAACATTTACAAATGTCTACTGTAAAATTGTTCAGGGCATTTCCCGGTGTTATGCTGGTTCAGAAACTAAAAAAGAAGACAGAACATTTGGCAAACCAGGTACATTATTGAAACCATGCCACAAAAGAAGCCTATGGTCATTTTAGTAGTTCAACTAAACATGAAATACAAACAGATCATAAGGGCAAAATAGGTCCAATTCTTATTACAATTACATACATGTAAACTGTGTATGAGTCTATTGCTACAAAAAGGTATAAAAGTGGCAGATATTATATGGATGTGCTTTCTGGAAAAAATACTGAAAGAATTATATTAATTTGCCAAAAATTCCAGGAAGTAGATCCAAAACAGTTTCAGTCATCACCACAGTTGATTTGTTTATTTAGCTACATGTGCCGTACTTCTCAAATCCTGGCATTTCATGAGCTCTGTACTCCTATTCTGTTCACTTTCACTCCTGGAGGTATGGTCCCACAACATTCTTGTGGAAAGCACAGATATGTCTCACTTCCTGGGTGAAGACCACTGTAAATAATTCTGATGACAAATTCTGAAAGGCATGCTTGTATTTTAATTTACCTTAAGCTTCCTGTGTTGTTTTTCTATTTTGAGATGTGCATGCAAACACACCCAATTTCATAAGACTCAGTTGACTCCTTACAGTGAAGAAGATCGTGTTGTGTGTGCTTGGGAACAACCAAATTGGGGGGGTGGATGGGGGGTGGATGGGG